AGCCGGGGGCTGCACGGGTGGGCGGGGAAGAGGGGAGCAGAAGGGCGGCTGCCCTCGCCGAGGCCCCTTTCACCGGGACGCTTGTCTCCCAGCACGCTGAGCCCCAAAGGCAGCAGGCCTCACCCGCCTGGGCTCATGCCACCTGCAGGAAACATCCTCTCCAAGTGTGGGCTTTGGGATGTCAGCTGCGCTGTGATTCAAAGTCAAAGGAAGAACTTATTTTCCATGAACAAAAGCACCGTGCCATTTCTTTTATTTTCAGTCTGTTCGTCTTTTTTAAAAGCTGTGAGGATTTTTGGATATATTTAATACCGCAGCAATAAGATGTTACAGCATCACAGAAATTCTGAGGGGAAGGAAAAAAGATGGGAACTGTACCCCTTCCACAGCATGGTGCATTTTCTCTAACTTCTGTTGTTTGGGAGAACTGTGGCAGTTTTATTTCTTTTCTTTTTTTTTTTTTTTTTCCCACTTGAACCATGAAAGCATGTCACAAAGTGGCTCAATTGTATTCACAAATGTCAGTGATATGTAGATGGAATAAGGAAGGCTTATGATATTCAGACATGAGGTGAGTCCTGGAAGTAATCTATCGGAAAGCCTCAGCTTCAAATCCACCTTTTATGACACAAAGAAAAACTTAAATATTTTTCTAATACTCTAATTCTTGGGAAATTAATTTAGGCTGGGTAGAAAATTTCCCTCAGGTGTTTGACTTAAAAGTGGAGAGTTTTGCTCTACATGCACAATTACATAGATATAGATAGATATAAACGTAAGAATTAAATAGATATAGGTATAGATAAATAAGATATTGGCACAGATGGTATCTGCAAATGATACCATCAAGGAAGTGAACAAACCCACCCAGAGTGGAGTATTTGCAAACTGTATCCCCATGAGACTTGTATCCAGAACTCTCACAACTCAGTATGAAAAGACAAATTTAAAGATGGGCAAAATATTTGAATAGATATTTCTTTAAAGAAGGTATATAAATGGCCAATAAGCTCATGAAAAGGTGCTCAACATCATTAGTCATTAGAGAAATTCAAATCAGAACAGTGATACTCAACTTTACACCCAGTAGGGTGTTTAAAAGGCAGACAATAACAAGTTTTAGAGAAATTGGGACCCTCATATATTGCTGGTAGGAATGTAAATTGGTGCAGCTGCTTTGGAAAACTGACTGGCAGCTCCTCAAAAAGTTCAACATAGTTACCTGTGTGACCCAAAAATTCCACATATGTACCCGTGTGTGTGTATGGTGAAATTAAAACATATCCACATTAAAACTTATATGTACATGTGTTCATAGAAGCATTATTCATGATAGCCAAAAGGTGGAAATAACCCAGATGTCCATCAACTCATGGATGGATTAAAAAATGTAGTATATCCATACAATGGAATATTATTTGGCAACGAAAAGGAAAAAGCTACTGATACATGCTGCAGCATGGATGAGCCTAGAAAACACTGTGCTAAGTGAAAGACACCAGACTATAAGATACCATTTATTGCATGACTCCATTTACATGAAGTGTCCAGAACAGGCAAATTTATAGACAGGAAGTATATTAGTGGTGAGTTAGGGACAGGAGGCGACTAGGGAGGCAAGAAGAAATGGGGAATGGCCACTAGTGGGTATGAGGTTTCTTTTAAAGGAGGTGACAATATTCTAAAGTTAGATTGTGATGATGATTATGCAATCCTCTGAAAATACTAAAAAACTTTTAATTATACACTGCATTTGGGTGAATTTTATGGTATGTGCTTTATATCTCAATAAAGCTCTTTTAAAAAACCAAAATATTAACAAATTAGGCCCTTTCCCTCCTCAAGTTTTATGGTATTCATACAAAAAAACCAAACAACAACAAAACCAAAGTGAATGAAATAGCAAGTTTATTTTGATGTAGCTGCTATAAATATGTACACTTAATTTTTTTCATTACGTATGTTTTCCCTTGAACTATAACAGTTCTTTTTTTTGTGTTCTTTTTTAGCCACAACAAGTTGTTCAGAAGAAGCCTGCTCAGGTAAGAGATGGTCATTGTGACTTCTTTCCTCCCAACTAATAGAAAAAGTGAAAAACAAGTGCCCAAATTAAACCTTTAATTAGTATTTTTCTAGTTTGATTACATCAGCATTGCGGTATTCTCAACAATTTGTTGTATCCTTCAGGAGAAGTCAGAAATACACAGTCGGAGATTGTCATTAAAAACCCTAAGAGATCAAGACCTTTACTTAAGTGACCAGGCAAACATAAAAGTTTAAAAAAATAGAATTTTTATTTCAGTGCTTTGTGTATGAAACATATATCTAATTGTATGTGTTTTACCAATCCTTAAACATCAAATTTTATTCTTTCCACCTAACTATCCATATTTCATTGATTTGGTGTGGGACTTATTAGCTGCAAAATATTTCATGATTCATGACCGGAAACATATTTGTTCAATGAACTATTCCATACATTAGATGATCCCAAAACGCCCCCCAGGGAAGGCTGGGGAACTGGGAAATTAAGTTACACCGGGTTTGCAGATTGATGAATTCTCAGGTCTTGCTTCAATGCCTGAGTCATAGTCTCTGAAGTCCTCGGATACATCAATATTAGGAACCAGCTTTACTTCTATTGTCCCACATGACTGGCCTTGTCCTAGCTGTAATCTATACGTGGAAACATAAGAATCATATTTATTGAGGAAGTATATCTTGAAGAAAGCAAAACCGAAGAATAAATTAATACGATTGCCAAGTATGTGAGCTGTTATTAAAGTATGAGAACGTCCTGCTGCTCCCCCCTTCTGGGTTTAAGGAGAAGGTCGAGGGATCTGGATGTATCATGCAGAACGGGCTGAAGTAAATTTTTTAAGCAGTGTCATGGGTTACCAAGTTCTTTGTAGATCTCTTTCATATAATTTAAAATATGTATGGGCTCTGGCCGGTGATTCAGTTGGTTGGAGTGTCATTCCCGTACACCAAAAGGTGGCAAGTTTGATTCATGGTCAGGGCCCATAACCTAGGTTGTAGGTTTGATCCCCAAATCAGAGCACATAAGGGAGGCAACCTATCAGTGTTCCTCTCTTCCTCTCTCTCTCATCGATAAACATATCGTCAGGTAAGGACGAAAAAAAATCTGTGGGCTCTTTTCCCTAGAGTCTCAAAAAAAGTACCTGCACTCTGTTCTCTTGGGACATTGTCACCTTGCCTGGGAAAAATCAACCACAATATTATGTGTTTACTGTTTCCTAAAGATGCTGCTTGGAAGAGAATTGAAGCTTCTAAACATGTGCAAGCATGCAGAAAATATGTATCCAAATAATTACAGATGTGCTTTAAAATAAAAGCAGAGCTACTATGGTTACCATGACAAAAATCATTCTCACGGCTGCTCCCATACCTAAAAACTGAGAGTGGTAGGAGGCACTGAAAAGAAATACCCAACGTTTGAGCGTTTGTATGCGATATTGAACAAAATGAAATCGAAACAAGCACTTGACATTTTAAGTAGGACATCTCAAATATTTTGAGCCTCTCACCCTTCATCAATAAGAAAATCAAGAGGAAGTGAATTTGTGATTCTGCATTTGAGTCAAAGGATCCTGCGGTGCTCACGGTTGCATGGGAGCCTGTGAACAGCAGATTCACCCCCTTACGCGGGCTGTTAGCCGCACTGTTCGGGTCCCTCTTGGCGGCGTTGCGGGGAAGCAGCGGCGAACAGCAGCACAGCCCCTTAGCTGAGAAATGTGCCATCTAGTTCGGAGGTTCGTAACCTTGGCTCTGGAATTAGAATAACCTGGTGATTACACACGTGCGCACACACACACACACACACACACAGTAGGGCCCCCTCATCCGCAGGGAGTGCGTACCGAGACCCCCAGTGGGCGCCTGAAACTGTGGGTAGCACTGAACCCTACATATACCTGTACTATGTTTCCTCTTACACGTACACACCCATGATAGTTTTAACTTATAAATTAGGCACAATAAGAGATTAATAATAACTAATTATAAATACGATTATAACAATTTATTATAATAAAAGTTATGTGAATGCGTTCTCTCTCAACCTCTGACAACCAATCTGATTA